ATATATAAATTTTAAAGTTGCTGAACTTTGATCAGTTTTTATCTGGCCTTCTGAAAGTGCGTTGCTTTATCAGCTTGATTTGATTTGGTCAGAAAAAGTAATCACTGTTAAAGTACTTTCACAATGAGCACGTTGCGTTTTAACGATTGTGTTCAGGTGCAAAGACTGAAGTGTGTAAAATGGTGCAGATTATAAACAAACGACAACAGTGACACGTAACAAGACGAAACAAAATTTACTGCAAACACATCGAATGCTGAATGTTGAACTAAAAGTTTAACATAAAACCAGGCAGAGCAGAAGCTAAAATGAGACAAATAGTATCTACAACCAAAAATTGGACGAAAAAAAAACCTGAAACGACAAAGTTTTGTAAAAGGTAAACATCAAAACTGATTTAAGATTTGTTTAATAGCAAACTGCTAACATTCAGAGAAGAATAAAAAGCTACATTTGGTCTTACCATAACTACAAGCTAAAATTAGCAAAACAATACATTAAAGCTATGTGTAGCAAAACATTATAGAAAAAGCTAAAATCACACAAAGCAGCTAGAATCTGTGTAGCGAAACTATCCAAAAGCTAAAATTAGAAAAGCCTTAGCTAAAAGCTTAATGTAGCAAAACCTTAATTTAAGTTGTATGTTGTAAATATGTAAATGTTGTAGCTATAAGCTAAAATTAGCAACACAGTAATGCAAAGCTAAAATTGGCTAAACTAATTAAAAGCTAACTTGTGACCTGCCCAGGGTGTCCTCGTTCTCGCACAGCGAATGCTGGAAATAGGTGCCAACTTCCTGTGATCCAGAATGGAGAAAATGGAAGGATAAAAGCTAAAGTTAACAAAACAGTAAAAAAGTAAAAGATAATTTAGCAAAAACTATAGTTAAAAAATCACAATCTTATAAATCCTAAAGTAGCAGAACAATAACTAGAAAGCTTCAGGAGACTAAAGTATCTTTCAGAGAACAATGACTCTAAGAAAAAAAGATTTCAATGTATTAATGGGGAATTATCTTGTAAATATGCATAAATAATTCAAAAACTAATACAAAACTCAGTCATATTTTCAACTGAGCTAAATGTTTTGCAGTATGACTGGTTAAAATAGTACAAAATATGCCGAAGTAGAAGTCAAGACAATAAATTGTTTGGAAAAACAAGACAAGCTGGATTTGGAAAGGAAAAAATCCAAGAAAAGAAGTTTAAAGTGGAGTCTAGACGTGAGCTATAACAAATACAGTCTCACACCGATGACCCTTTTGCTCTGAGTCAGGGTGTGAACAACAGTCATGCCTCGGCGGCGTGGCCCCCGGCGGCTCCTCCTGCAGGGCTGATAAAAGACGAGGAGGAGGAAGGCTGTGTGAGGACGGAGGCATCCAGAGCACGTCTCTAAACAGCTGTGAGTGTTTTGTCTTTTTTACTTCTGTGCACAGATGTCAAACTTTRAACTCATCTGTGCTTTTTGTTTAATTATTTCTAGCTTTATAGACTATTTGATCTGTGAGCCTCTTAAGTAAGCTTCCTAATTCAAAGGCTCCATTAAACAATGACCTCTGACCCTATCAYACACATGGACATATTGATCCGTGAACTCCTGCAGGAACAAACCGGCTAAAAGCTGCGCCAGTCACAGCTTACCAACACATAAAAACAGATGTTTRAGTGTGATTGAAAGCAAAGAAAGAGGAAGCACAGGTGCGCAGGGTGAGCTGTGGTTTCTKAAGCTTGGCTGAATTTGTTTCACTTTCTTTCATCAGCCTCTGCTCACACAYTGACTCTGGCTTTAGCTGCACTTCTTGTTTTGTTTGATTTATATTTCAGGCTAACAGYGAGAATCTGTTGTCTCTGCCTTTCAAGATGGCGTTCACACTTTTAACCATCCTGACAGCTGCCATCAGCGCATCCTATTGCTTTCCTACAATCTTTCAAGACCTGGAGCACAATGGAGGTGGGTATTACTTACAGCACACTGATATATTCMGAGGTTTTGTTCTCGATAGGACGTCGTGCCCTTCATGGCTTGTGTTGTTGTTTTTCAGGAAACCGAACCTCCATTAAGTTCCTGGCTATAGGCGACTGGGGAGGGCTGCCGTACCCGCCGTACATCACKGCTGTACAGAAGACTACGGCTGTGGAAATGAGCAAAATAGCAGAGCAGATGGGAGCTGACTTTATTCTGGCCCTGGGCGATAACTTCTACTACAGAGGCGTGAACAGCGTGGATTCCCCTCGGTTTCAGGTCAGTTGAGGGTCTGGCATCAGCTGATAACTAATGAAGGAAGCTGGTTGTGCTCATCTGAGTCTCCTCCTCCACCAGGAAACCTTCGAGGCCGTGTACACCTCCAAGTCCCTCAGGGTGCCTTGGTATGTTATCGCTGGCAATCATGACCACGCAGGAAATGTCAAAGCTCAGATAGAGTACACCATGAAATCTGACCGATGGTAAGCCGCTCATGTTGTCAAAAACAGCTCTTTGAAAGCAAAAACTTAACTTTAACTCCCTTATCAGGAGATTCCCCTCCTACTACTACGAGCTGAACTACCGCATCCCTAACACGGGGAAGACCCTGACCATCATCATGCTCGACACGGTGATGCTGTGCGGCAACTCCAACGACTTTGTGGACGAGAAGCCCAGAGGACCCCTGGTCGAAGCGGAGGCGAARCGCCAGCTGGCCTGGCTGCAGGAGCGACTGGCTCGGTCCAAAGCGGACTTCCTGCTGGTGGCGGGCCACTACCCGGTGTGGTCRGTGTCCGAGCACGGCCCCACGGAGTGTTTGCTCCAGGGCGTCCACCCTCTGCTCATTAAATACAACGTGACGGCGTACTTCTGCGGCCACGACCACAACCTGCAGGTCAGCCGTGTCCCTGGCCGGGTTTAACAATGTCTGCGTCTCGTTTTGCTCATGGCTGCTTTGTTCTCCTTGCAGTACCTGGAGGAGTTCGGCATCGGCTACGTGGTGAGCGGCGCTGGCAACTTCCTGGATCCCGACATCCGTCACTGGAACCACGTCCCCAAAGGGTCTTTAAAGTTCTTCACGGGCCAGGCGTCGACGCTGGGAGGCTTCGTTCACGCCGAGGTCACCAAGGACCAGTTGATCCTGACGTTCTTCCAGGCTAAAGGAACCTCTCTATACCAGACCGTGCTGTCCCAGAGGAACGTCAGTTAGTCTGTTGGCAGCTGAAAGTTTCTTCTGTATAATCAAATCTGTGATCCCTCCTTTGACTCTTGACGTTTCAGTGCTTTGTGTTGTTTCAAAATGAATCAACTTTTACTGTCTTTATTGTAAGATAAAATAAATGTTTTGTAATTAATGTCTGTTTCTTATCAGCCTTTGTACTTTGACCCTCAACAAAAAATCTGCTTTTTCTCCTGACGAGTTTGTGGAGCTGCAATAAGTACATCCCTGCTTTAAGTTGTTAAAGGTGCCAATGCACAAGTGTTGAAGCGTCCTTATTTCAAACTCTTCTCACGCCACCAGTTTGTTTTAAATCAGAACGTTTTGTCTTCTTCCACTCAGTGTCACTGCTGTAGGACTTCTGATCGTCAACCTGACTTCCACTCAAAATATTTTCATCCAGGCTGGAAACAACGGCTTTTTTTTTTACAATAACTCCACCTAAAACATCGTAGAAACAGAGAAAATGAACATGGGTGACCAGAGTTGTAAAGTAACTAAGTACAAATACTTTGTTACTGTACTTATGTAGAATTTTTGGGTATCTGTACTTTACTTGAGTAATTATTTTTCAGTCTACTTTTTACTTCTACTTCTTACATTTTCACACAGTTATCTGTACTTTCTACTCCTTACTTTTTTTTAAAAAGGAAAGAAGTATAAAGTCGTTACATTTATTTCATTTTTGCTTGTTTGGATTCCAGCTTATTGTAAAAAATAAATACTATCCATATAAACTGTGCCTCCTAGATAGAGTGAATTTAACTGTGGTTGAATGAGAAGTATAAATATATAAAACTCTGATAGTGTATTAGTTTGTACACAAACAAATCATGTCACACTCCAGCAGGAGAGAATCATTCAAATAAAAGGACTGTACTTAAGAAGTATTTGTATTTCATGAATTATATTCTTACATTTGGCCGCAGCCCTCAGATAGATTTTCATTTTGGGGAAAAGCTTTGTGCAGCCTTGATATATGTATATAAACTGAAACAGCTGGACTAGTGCATCCTAAATTTAACATAAATTAATTATTTTAAATACGATATAGTCATTTCTACCTTTTTTTCCTAATAAATGTCATTACATAAACTCTAACTGCTTATTTTAAATCAATCCTTTTACTTTTAATACTTAAGTTCAAACAATATCAAATACTTTAAGACTTTTACTCAGTAATATTCCTAAAGGAGACTTTAACTTTTACCAAAGTAATGTTTTGGTAAGATACTTGTACTTTATACAACACTGTGTGTGATGACTTACTGCACTATATTAAAGGTTAGCTGTTTTGTTCTGCTCACAAATTTGCATCTGACTCTTTTATCGGTTTATCATTCTTACTACGTCTGATACATGATTTAACATTCTTACAAGCCTTTTTTTGTGTGTGTGAACATATGGGCTTCTTTAATCAGCCGGTCAGAATAATTTCATTGCAAATACCTCCCATCTGCTGCAGAAGCCTTTAAAGTTCTTGCAGCAAACTGTCAACATCTGGACACAGGAGCTCTGACGWGACACTCATGAAACTAAAAACAAGCAGAAAAGTAGAAGCGGTTCCTTTTTTTAAGGAACACATTCGATAAACTTTTTGTAAAACACGCTTTGCTGGAAGAAAAGAAAATTTGAGGTCAGACCGGTTTAACCGCTCAGCTTACAGCTGCCAAAACACGAGTCTGTCAGATGACACAGGTGTGCATTATGTTATTACTGAAACAAGCAGGTTTGAARTGTCTGGTAGCATCAAACCTGACTGAATGGTGAAACTAACACTGGAGGGTTTGAAAGTAATGAAGTGGAATAACTGCAGCTGGATGTGTCACCTGCTGTCAGGCAGAACAGAAAGATCCACAAACAGCAGCTAAAGGCTGCTGCAGAGTCAGATTCATTATGTAACTCTGGGTTTAATAGGTTTTAATACACACTTAAAATGCCTCCAGTGTGTTCAAATATTAACTTTTATTTATTTCTTCTATTTATGAGCTAAAAGAGGTCTTTAACTGTGGATCTGAAGACCTTTCTTCTGGTCATACTGGAGGGTTTAATGATGGTTGCTGAAGGACATGATGGGACAAGTCTCCACAACCACAGCTCTTTTTTTTCTCGTTACAGAACGGCCTGGCCTGCCAACTGAGGATTAGCCTGAACGACAGCAGATTGACAGCTGATGCYATGAACTAAGCCAAGTGATGACAATTAACCTGGGAGGAAGGTATAAATGCTGAACCAGCTGTTTTGCATCTTCTTCCTGCTAATTTTCTAAGCTCTTATAAAAATAAAATCCATTCTTTAATTTAAGTTTAACAGCAAAGTTTTTTTTTCACCCTGTGCTTTCTGTGGTCCCAACTGAACTGCAGGCGAMGAGGATCCAGATCCCATTAGGATGAGTTTCAGGCTGTTAGTGTAACGCATCATCAGACTGAGAGCTGGACCGATAGATCTCAGCCAAAACTAAAGGAGTCGGCTGAGGTAATCTGAGGTTAAAGAGGATAGCTTAACTCTGGCTTACGTAAATCCACAGCAGACCTGAAGAAAACCCTGACAGGTTGCACATAGCATCCCTTACCGATGCTCCAGGACCAGCTAAACTGAGACTGCTTCTCTGAAAGTGAGAACTTCAACCTCACTGGCTTACTTACTGATTGTGAGGCACCTTTTTAATTTTACTGAAGTTTCATCAAAAACAGAACTAAAAGTTCCTAAAGAAAGAGAATTTTCTGTTAAAATGCAGTTTGAATGCTGTGGGCTGAATGATTTTGCTGAAATTTGTTCCCAGCTTCACCTAAGGTCATGAACTCCAGTGAACTGTTAAAATTAAAATAGTGGAACAAAAGGTAAAATCAAGAAAACAGTAGCTAAAAGCTAAAAAAAAAACCACAACTGTATCTAAAATTAGCAAGACAGTATCTAAAGCTAAACTAAGCACAAGAAAACATAAGTAAAGCAAATATTGATTTAATAAATCAATGTTTAAGGAGAGTTTGGACATACGAATGGTCAAAAACTTTAAATAACACAAAGTATGAGGAAAAAATGCACAAAAAAACTTTCAAAAAGGAAAAAAAAAAACATTGCAAACACTGAGTCACCAGTCACATGACCCTGTTAGGGAAAACACTGAGATGTTTTGTTTATAAGTGCTGACTCACCTATCAGGTGACTTTAACAGTGCACAACAAAAAGGAAGAACTTAACTTTAGCAGCAGCAGAAACAAGTTAAAAAGTGTCAAAGTAAAGGAAAATGTGATGGGTTGTTTTATTTTAATATCAGGCCTTAAAACAAATGGCTGTATTTTTCAGTTATACAATGAAGGATGTCCAGTTTGATTCTGAAAAAGTGGTTTTCAAGTATTTTTTCCACTAAATAAAATAAAATCCTACATAATCAAAGTAAATCAGTTAGATGAATAAAAAAGTGATGGATCCAACTAAAACTCAATCTGCTGCTGTCATCTTTAAAACACTCAGCCTCAGTGTTTAAAGCACATATTATAGCTGAAGCATGGATTAAAACAAAGACCCCGATCTCCCCCCAGACTCTGTTTCTGAGACGTGTGACTCCATATTTAAAATTTCACCACCTGCCACCGAACGCACAACCTGCACTGCAGTAATCCTTTGCTCATGTCTGCTCCAAAATGAAGAAAACAGCTAATCTAAAACCTCTTGACTCATTAGCACCAATAAAAAAAGAGTTCACATGTTTTTACTCATCTCTATTCACTGGAGTCTGATTAGTGTTTTGCTGGGTTTGGACCTGAAAGTCAGGGGTGTTGTGCCACCTACACAAAGTAAATTTTAATTAATGCATCATTTCTGTTTTTAATTTTCTGTTTTTAACATTGTTTTTGGTCTGTGGCAGGGTGCTGTGGAGGACTGGAACTGACATAATTAAAAATAAAGGTATAAATGTATAAATGGACCAATAAATAACACACTTAAAATGCACAAATTAAATTAAAAAGGAGAACTTTGCCTCATGTTTTATAATTTATTTGATCTTCAT